GATTTCTGTTTACATTTGAAAATATTAAAATAAAAAGTGTTTTACTGTGACTTTTTGTTTCATTTATAAAGTATCTTATTTTTAGGCATTGAAATTTTAACGATGATCATTTCACGATATCGATTTCTGTAACGTATCCGTGGTATTCGTACTTTTACCAATGCGGTATGGTAAATCCTAAGATTTACTGTTTGTGTCCGGTAAAAGTCCGAAATGGAAGCAAAATAACTAGTTTTCGGGCTTTTACCACTTGCTTTTGGTAAATCCTAGGTTTAGCGCGCTTATCCTAGGTTTTACCGAATTTCGGGCATTTACAGTAACATATACACTAGAAAAAAAATCAGCAAAAAAATTTGCAATTTGCAATGTGTTCTCACTAGACTGTCCGTTATAGATCATACAACCTGGAAATCATAATTCCTACTTCTGCTATTAACAAAACTCCAGAAAGAGCTCGAGTCATTTTTCATAGCATTTTCCATATTATTTATATATTCTTGATAACATAAGACAGACATTTCTTTACATTGAGATCTTAATTGGGAAAAAAACTCATAACTTTTCTGAGAACCAGACTCTTTAAATTTTTTATGTGCAATTTTCTTTTCAAATATAAGATTTTTTAACTCATTTGAGTACCACGGAGGAAATTTAGGTTTCTTTGACTTACACATAGGAACAAAACAATGAAATGCTTCATATATAATGCCATAAAAAGTATCCAAAATTAAATCAACATAGTTCAAGTCTAATAGTGCATCCCAATCAGGTGAACCCATAAAATAGTTCAGGCTGTGAAAATTAGCATTCTTAAAGTCATAATACTCATAGTTAAAGTCAGCTATTCTCTCACTTTCAAAATCAAGAGAGAATTCACACTTAAGTGCTGGATGATAAGCATCACAATTAAGTAATGGTACCTCAGCTGTTGCAACAGAAATATGATCATAATCAGAAAAAATAAGGTCCAAAAATCCACCGTAACCATTTGGAATATTATTACATTGTTTTAGGTTCAAGTATGTAGCCATATCCGAGATACATTTAGCCTGCTGCGATACACTACCTGAGCTTTGAACAAAACATCTAGAATCAACCCAATATATACTTGGCAAATTGAAATCTCCACATAAAATCATATAATTACAAACGTTTGTATCATAAATTTCTTCAATTGTCAAGGACAGAGATTCATAATGGTTAATGCTAAGTTGAGGGGCAGATAAGCTGCACATAACAATATTTACAATTACAAAAATGTGCTCAATATTCTCTAACTTACTAATAATCCTTTTTGATGTATAATTCGATTTCACAGCTATCATCACTCCACCTCCACGGTCGCAATCGCTTGTAGCCTTAAACCTATCACATCTGTAGACTATGAAATTAGTCATACCCAATTCACCATCAAAAATATCAGCCTTCAACCATGTCTCCACTAGAACTATTACATCATACTCTTGCTTTTCCACAGATAGTTCAAAATTTTTCAGTTTTGTGCGTAGTCCTCTAACGTTCTGCATGTATAAACTAAAACAGGCTGGTTCGTTTTTTACATGTTTAAATTATTATGTCTACGATTTTGATAATTATTTTGAGAATTTCATACATCTGTCAAAACTGGTATTCCAACAATAAATTGACATGTTTTGATTGTTGATTTGAACCAATCAGATTGTAATTACGTGATAATTTGCACTAGTGCAAATTATCAGATAATTGCATACTAACTGGTGCGAAAACTGGTGTTTTGACATTTTTTGACAAAAAATTTAAATTTTTGATTTATGAAATTCTCTCATTAAATACAACTCGTGCAATGGAAATATATTTATAATTTTCGACAAATTTGCACTCATGCGTTTTTACTACAACTAAAAATGCATTCGGGCAAATTTTCCAAAAATTATCAATAATTTCCATTGCACTCGTTATATTACTATTGATAATTTTGGTAACTGTCCCGATTGTTAGGAGGATATTGCCCATAATTTATTTCTGGATAAGAGCCTCTATTGTTAACTTGATTTCCATTTCTATTTCCTCTATTATATCCTAAATTGCCTTGCCATGTTGATTTGTCTCGGGTGTAATCAGAATGATATTCTTTCGGATATTCTCGATAGACATTAGATGTTCCTCTCCTTTTTTGGTAAAAAGTGTTATTTGTTGCAGCCATATTTCTTCTTATGAAAAATCTTCTAAAAATTACGTGAGAGGGCCAAAACTGTGCATCATTCACTGTATGATATAGACTGCTTTTGATTCCAATTTTATAGGCCTTAGTATCGCCCATTGAATTAAGCTGCTCCACCAATAATTCCTTTTCATCACTTAATTTTAATTTTCTAAGTAAATAGCCTTTCACAGAAACTGGATTTGATTTCTTTGTAACATTTCCTATATACAACCACTCCATTTCTTCACCAAAAAAATCATCCACAGCGTCACTGGCTATGCCCCTATTAATAGTTGGCTTTTTGGTTAGTTCATTCAATTTATTAGATTGCACCAATGCAAGTGCATTACCAACAGCTGTTTCAACCTGTTCTAATGTGATATTATTTTTTACCTACGAGCGTGCGGTAAAGTGAACTTTACCGCACGTATTTGCAAATGGAAAGTATCACTTTACCGCACACTATGCGGTAAAGTGCACTTTACCGCATAGTGTGCGGTAAAGTTAACTTTACAGCATAGTATGCGGTAAAGTAGAATCAAAGTGTGCGGTAAAATGCACTTTACCGCATAGTGTGCGGTAAAGTAGAATTTGATATTTATAATCAAAAATCCTCTTTTTTTCAGAAAATGGATTTTTGATCATTTCTAAATCTTATCTAATTTCATGAATTAATCTGATTCATTAATTAATTTTATAAATGCCTTTTTTTGGAAATGTAGATGCTCATAGGTAAAATTTTGTACCTAACACATGCGGAAAGTGTCTTTACCGCCCTTAACGGCCGTTGCGTGCGGTAAAGTATGACTTTCCGCATTTGTTAGGTAAATAACTATTACGGTTGTAGTTGCATCCCTCTTTTTTGTAGGATTGTTTGTACCTGATTCAGTTTCCTTTGTGTGTGGACTATCAATCTTCACAATAATCTCATTTATTTCTTTGGAGTTTCTCTCAGTATCTTCGAGGAGTTGCGACATTCTGGTGTCTAGTAATAGGACTTTACCCTGAAGTTTCATCCTCTCCCTTTTTTGGTTCTCGAAAAACACTATATTATATGTGTGTTCGATAGAATATTTTATTCTGATTACAATGATATAACACACTTCATATTTTGGTCCACTCCTTTTTGACAAATCGGCAAAAATATGAAACTTTTGAAGTGAAACTTATTAGGCGGGGGTCTGATATTTGGGACGAGAATTATTGAGCTATTCAGTCGTATGAATAAAGTGTAGCAAATGCTTTTACGGAGGCTTTTACTCTACGTCTCTTTCTGCTGCATTAAAGCTGAATATGTTTATCTCAAAGAACCTAAGCAAAAGCATTTGCTTCTGTTTTATTCATATGAGCTATTGAGAGTGTACGTATATGAAAATTTCATATTTTTTTGTTGATTTGTCAAAAACGAGTGGACTAAAATATTAAGTGTGTTATATCATTGTAATCGGAATAAGATATTCTATCGAGCATACATATAGTATAGAGGGTGTTCCATTTAAAAAAATATAAGGTAGGCTTATATGTCAAAAAATTGACAGTGTTTTGTTTCATATGCAACTTGAAGAAAAACTTGGCTACTAGCCCTACATTTTGTTTTTTTGTTTACCTTGGTAACTTCAAAAACAAAAAAGTTACAGGTGATCAAAATGATATCAAAGATAAAAAAACACCTGGTACCTAACTCAAAACGTGCATAGATAATGTCCGCGGCATGAAAGATGGAGGACCGAAAGAATGTGACCGCCCTTTTCATGAACATACAAAACTTTGTATTATTTGTTGTATTTGCCTAGTCAGCAGGCTATTTAGTATTTCTCTGTCATTTTAGTAGAATATTTCAATGGGAAACATCAATTTATCACAGAGATACAGAAAAATGAACCTCCCACTCGGAAACTCAAATTTTAGAGAAAAAAAAACGGAGAACATCACTGAATTCTGTTTTAAAAAGTGCTTCTAGAAAGTTTTTACGGAAATCAATTATTTCCATAAACAAAAAAGTTATGAAGGTTCCACAATATTGCTCAAAATCAAGAAGATTGAAGATATCAAATGCAGCGGCATCAATCAAGATTTCATGAAATTTGAGCCTGAAAGTGGTGGGTTCATTTTTTTGTATCTCGCTCAGAAATTGATGTTTCTTATTAAAAGTGTCCAAATTGGGACACCCTGTACATTAAACGCATTACACGAAATGTGTGCTAAGGACCAGAAGGCATCTATCTGATAAATAAAAATATTTCTAGAACTAGAGACACAAAACAAAGAAAATTGCAAAATCATTTTTCCCACCAGATTTAAAGATGGCAAGAAGAATGGTATACTGTATACTAATTTTCAAGATGTTAGATTTTTTATTAGAATTATTGTGAGAACGCCCCTCACCCTGTTGGAGGTCACCATCCAGGGATTTTCTGGATTCTAAACTTTGGTTTGTGCGAGGGTTTGTGGTAATAAACAAGAAGCAAATTTGACTGGTTCCACAGAGGATAAACTTGAATGATATTGAAAATAGACAGGAAATCTGATATGTCTTCAGGATTTCCTATTACACTAATGGGTATGTAATTATTTAGTAGAAAGGAAGGACCCTGATAACCAAATGGAATAATTATTGGAGAAAGCTACAATTTCTCAATTTTGTAACTCTGGGACTCTGTAACGGATAGAGATCTTTATCCCTATCACTATTCACTATGGCCTCGACTATGGCACTTGATGTCTTCTTCTGTCTTTTCAAAATCAATAGAGAAGGGATGTCAATAGAGATAGAGAAAATATCTCTAGTCGTTACAGACTCCCAGGGCTGTTTTCTTACCTTCCAAAAATACTTGACAAAAATCCAACAATTTTTGTAAATAACTAACATAATTGTCAAATCCAGACAAAAATTCAATGGCCTGTATATTGCTTTCCGTTTGTCCGTCTCCGAATTTTCTAAATATCGAATGCAGGAAACCACACAGGGTTTGCAAACCGTAGGCAGCTCTAATGCTTGTGTTATCGGCAAGAATTTCGATACACTGTGAAAACAATTCGTTCAAGTTTGGCTTCGCCGCTTGCAATTGCTCTGTGGAGAGCTTCAAAATTTCGGTTTCAAAAGTCGTCAACTTCGGCTTCAAAAGGAAAAATTCTTCCCATGGCAAGGGGTTATTTGAACGTATTTCTTCTCCCTTTAAAATTGTCTCGTATATTTGAACCACTTTTTCTTTAAATTGGCGCTTCGAACCGCTGCCGCTTCGTTTTCTTGAAGTCATTTTAAAATTATCACTGCGGCGGAAATTTGAGTAGTAGTTTACTTCTGTTGGAAAAACTTCTAACAATATTTTTGTTCACTACCCTACAACCACCACCACAACACCCATTTATCAAAAAAATCTGACAACGTTAAACTAAGGTTAAGCTGACAGAGACAAGTTATTTATTCTTTATTTAAATTTATTTTTTGGCGTCAGCGGATTCTACAGGTGGGTCCAAACTTGAACATTTTAACTCAAACGAACAGAACGAGCTGAACACAAGGAACGAACACCTCGAGCAGAAGTTCGGTATTTTCGGCATGTTTTCTCTCCGCTGTGTTCCCAGTTCAGTCCCCCAGATAAAAGTCAAAATGACATGTTGACAATGTAAAATTGTCAATGCTAAATGCTGTACTCTGTGGTAGTAGGTCTGTTATCTGCAGAAATCACAAACCAGTCAGAGCGAATTTTATTGGTTGAAACTAGTTTTCTCACTGTTTTCAACCAATGAAATTTGCTTTGACTGGTTTGTGCTTTCTGCAGAAACAGACCTTAGTAGTGTGTATCATCCTTGGGCAGCATGTCCTTTATCCTTTATCGCCTTGACCCTTGACGTATAGGCTGTTTGCACTACAGGTTATGATTCCGCGGGCTTTTGCTTTTATGCATACTTGGTTTTACTACATTGATTAATATTCTAAATCAACTCTTTTTTCAAATCTCATTTTCATCTTCCTCTCTGCCTACCGTGTTAATCAAAATTAAATATTTTTCATCATAAATTAAAATTCTAATGCCGGTTTTCCACTAAACGGAGTGTTGAGTTTTTGTGTTTTGTCTATGTCTATGTTTTAAAACAAAAACAAAACTGAAACAAACACAAAACTCTTGTTTCCATCAAGCGGACTACGTTTTGTTTTCTCGGGAAAACAAACCTCCCTCCAACTGTCTTAAAACACGCTAGTCTTGAAAATGTTTTGGACAAGTTTGAGTTTATTGGGTTTTGTTTTTGTTTTGCCTGTTTGATGAAAAAACCAGCATAAACTACGACCTCTAGTGCAAACAGCTGACGACAATGAACTATAGCCAAAAACTGGAATGCGCACACATTGCCATATCTGCCAAAAAAATGAAGCTATGAAAGACAGATGCCACAAGGGGGAATGTTGTTTCTTTCTGTTGCTCGCTGACATTTGACGTTTTCGAAAGTTTTGTCATATTTACCTTCACAGGTTCCATCAATTGGAATACGTGTTGGAAGCAATTTCCGCCATTCAACATAATGAATGCGACAAAAACAGGTATCCCTTCCGCAGCAGCGGCACTAGACTTTGGTTTGTCAATATGTGTACGCATTCCAGTTTTTAGTTATAGTTCATTGGCTGACGACTTGTTAATGACGTCGGAAATGGTCTATGGGTGACACACCAATACGGCGGCGGCGATCACCAAAAACGAGGCCGATAAGCAATCCAGTAGCGGTAACTCCTGAAAGTGACATTTCTCCATGTAAAAATGTTAATTTTAAGGAATATTTATCGCTAAGGTTTCCTTAAAATGGTCGGTGCAAACCAAGGATGGGATGGGTGCAAACGGCCATGAAAGAATATCGTATCGATACCTATGAAGATATCGATAAACCCTTCTCTACGCAAACTGGCTCTTCTTATTTATTTTGACAATGGCAGTATTTACCTGGACAAAATTGAGGCTTTTCTGTTTTTGACTGCCATCTATTGGGCTTTTTCAACATTTGTTTGAAAAACAACACTACAACAGGAACCATGGAAAACTACAAATAAATAAATATTTTTGGGGGTTTATCAATATTTTTTAGAAAAGTTATCACATAAATTGGTAAATAATTGATAAGAGAAGGCTGAAGAAACAGAAGCAGCAATAAAATGGCTCAGGACCCTCTCGGATATAACACGAAAAGGAATTCAATAAAGAGTAATCAATCTGGTAAGGTTTTCTTTTTTAAATTGATAAAGGTGTAACTTAATTAGGCATTTAATACTGATGCTTTTACAATAACCATCCGATGAGTCTGCCTCCTCTTCTTAATAGGACATTTGCCAAATTCTGTGTTTGCCGAATGACCTTTTTTCGAGCTTTGTTTCCATTGGAATGGTTTAGATTGTTTGTCAAGAATGATTCAAGGTGATCAAATGTAACAATAGTATTTTACATTATTAGCCAGGTAAAAACTGCTACCTGGCGTATAATGTACAATAATTTATTTGTTACTCATTTGTAAAAGATATAGGGACAAATAAAAAATTAATACATAACAAAATTTTGAAATTTATACGTTTTTCCTTAATTTTTTCTGATACAAGTTGGTAGTTGGTATACCTATGAGAATGAGATGTTGTTAAGTCGTTGTTTCTAGTTAAAAATAGCTTTATTGACAGATTTCCATTTTTTGCAATTTTTTTCCAGAAATGAATGTGCTAGATGATATTAATAATGAAGCTACAGTCGTAGCTAATAGTTTACCACCAGAAGAGTCTGCTAGAAGGTACCTACAAGCAATTATTCTTGTGATAAAACTGATTTTTTAAAAATAAATAATTCTACTGACTTGTAAATAGTTATTTATGATATAAGTGTTAAAAGTACATTTTTAAGGCACGCATGTGAAAGTTTGCAGAATGAGCGAAGCGAATTCTGCAATTCACATAAGTGCCTTAAAAATACTTTTAACACAAATATCATACAATATTTTTTCTACAAACGGCAATAACAAGCAATAACCAGTGACAAATTGGATTTTCAAATGAATAATAAATTGGAAGCATCTTTCCTACGTAAAATTAATGAATTTGATATTTGTCAAAAAATTCAAACAACCAGCACCTTGTTTTACAGGTAATGAAATGTCTCGTCAGTTTCTTAAAAGTCTGTCGTATGGTCTATCGTGGTCAGTAGGCTTTTTGCTAAAAATGCAACAAAATACACAAGAAAAAGAGGGTTGCATCAATCCCTTGAAAAATATAGAGGAGGCGGCCGATGGAGCTTCCTCAGTTGTTCAAATTTTACCATTAAAATTAATGTAAAAAATTAAAAATACAAACTTTTTTTGACGTTTGCTTTCAAATTTTGATATTTCATTTTTAACACTAGTGCCTTAAAGACTTTTAACACTAGTGCGATAAAGTAACATTTTTAATGCTTCGAGGGGGTGTTAAAAGTTGCATTTTTAACACGTTTGTAGAAAAAAGTTTTTACAGTTTAGCTGTCAATTTTACAAGTCAGTAGAGCCAGTAGCTTGTAAAAATCAATTTTCGTTGTTTATGTTTTGACTTGATAAGTGACGTTTTACAAATGAGTGACAAATAAATATTTTTGTTAACCCTTAACTGGTCGCTAGATTTTATTTCACCTTGGCGCTTGGCGTTCTTTGTACGCCACTAAAGTACGCCACTTGAATAAAAATGTCTTTTGATAATCGGGACGAATATTGCTACCTTCAAAGTAATGTGGAATCCTTAGTAACTTCAAGTATTAATTTATTAACACATAAAATATTAGATATAATATATCACAAAAAAATAAAAAAAACATTTTATTTGTAAAAAATAAAAAAATAATGACACCCGAACAAACTTCATTTTCTAAAATCCTTTCGCTAAACGGGTATAGCAAAACACATAGAACTAACATTTTCAATCCCAACCACATAAATGTCATAGTTTAGGCGGAAACAGTATTATAAACCATTATAAAAATAAAAATCATAAACGGTCGCTTTGGCATATTTTGTACGCCAATTAGTACATTATTCAAAGCAGCGCCCTGCAGGAAAGCGAAATGGAAACCAACGGGATCGCCACTTTTCCAGTGCATACAAGACACTATGGTGGTAGGTTACATAGGCGCTCACCTTCGGCCAATCGCTAGTTTCAATATGTCACGTGTTTGAACTCGTTTGGCGTACTTTTTACGCCAGCGCGACCAATTAAGGGTTAAACAACGGTGCTGTTTCTTCGAAACCAAACAAGTGGCTCAATTAATTTGATAATAGAACCATTTTACATGCAGTCAATAGTTTCATGATGCAATATTTTTCATAAAATAACGGCCAAGGGGTCATCAGGTACCATCAGATTTGTAGACCATCCTGCATGTTTCAAAAGTCCTCTAGGTTCTGCCGAGGGTTCTGCACAAGTTTTGTTCAGGTCATAAGCCTAGTTCTCATGGAGCGGAAAATCGCGTTGCGGGTGCTGAATATCGCTTTCCATTCAAGACATAATTTTTGCCGGTTCACATATTCCACAAGCGGATTTTTAGTTACATTTAGGTATTTCACATATATTTTAGTGATTTTTATCAAATGTAATCTGTGATCAAATGTCATACCATACATCTCACTGGTGACAGTAAAAAGTGGCGGAGGCATAAAGAAATATAATAAACCAAGGTAAGAGTACCTGATTGATAACATGAAAGTTTGTATAGCGCTGACGTCACAGCGACGGTGGCGTCAATAGTGGCAGCCGGAACAAATACTGAAATGGCGGGAATTTTGAAATTTGACTTGGGTTGATTGCACAAAAAACTTACTTATGTTGTTCCACATCTTTTTTTCTCAAATCTTTCTGTTCTTTTACCTTTTTAGTTTTACTGATTTTACATTTTGTCCTTTTGGTTTTGATGTTTTTTAGCTTTAGCAACAAATTTTTGTGTTATAATTTTATTGTAATTTAGGAAATGTATAATATCATGCTTTGTCAACAGAAATTTGATTTTCTTGGACAATAAAGTATTTTTTGATTTGATTTTTGATTTGAAATCCGAATGAGAAAAATGATGTGGTACTACATAAAGTATTGTGCCATTTTTTGATGTAGATTGGAAAAAAAGGCAAAATAAACACTAAAATTTTATTTTATTTTATTTATCAACGGGTAGCCCATTTTACAACTAAATTTCAATATAATACATTAAATTTAACATAACTAAACTTAAACCTAACTAAATCTAAATCCAAAATAAATCTAAGTCAATAAACAGAATGACAAATCATTAAACAAATGCGATACAGTGGACTATCTCAAATCTCAAGCAATGTTCCCAGAAAGCACAGTCCTCAGGCCGCCAAGCGTAATGCTGAAGAAATCTATGTTGGATTCATTGCCCTCTCTAACAAATCTAGATATTGGAGAATTGACTCCATAATTATACTTATGGAAGGATTGCATGAAAGTGCACTTTCCTCTAGTATTCCTAGGTGGTACAAAAAAGTCTATTTGGGATAGAATTTCAGGACAATTAACAAACGAATTCAATATTTTGAACAAAAAAAATAAATCAGCACTGTGTCTTCTAGTCGAAAGTCTGGGCATCCCCGTTATTGACCTTAAAAGAGTCGCAGAATAATCTGGATAAAATATATTTAATTTTCTAGACACAAAGTATAAAAATTTATTCTGCACCATTTCGATGTTTTTAATATGAGTCTCATAGCTAGGTGACCAAACAGGCGAGGCATATTCCAGAATGGGTCTAACTAGCGCTTGAAACAATACTTTCAACGTATATATATTTGAAAAGCTATATCCCATTCTGCAAATTAAACCCAAAGTCCTGTAGGCAATATTTATTATATGATCATAATGTAAGTGGAAACTCAATTTTGTATCAAGGACTATACCCAAATCTCTAACCTTCTCAACAACGCCCAACATTTGACCATTTATATGATATGAGAACTCTATTTTATTTTTGCTACGCGAAAATGACATTACATGACACTTGGCGACATTAAGATCCAACCTATTAGTTTGGCACCACCCAGCAAAGGCATCCAGGTCCGTCTGAAGTTTCTCACAATTCGTCACAGAATCAATTATACTATAAATTTTACAATCATCGGCAAACAGTAAAAAGGGACATTTAAGGTACACTTCTAAGTCATTTATGAACAAATTGAAAAGAAACGGACCCAAATGGCTTTCCTGGGGAACACCAGATGTAACCAGAAACTCGTCTGACACTGCACCAGTCAAACGCACAGATTGAGTTCTATCGGTTAAGTAAGACCTCAGCCAGAGCAACATGACCCCATGAAATCCCAGTGCCCTGAGCTTATCACACAACAACGTTATATTTACAGTGTCGAATGCCTTGGAGAAGTCAGTATATATCGCATCCACCTGGGAGTGATTCTCCAAAGCATTCAGCACAAACTGTGTAAAAACTATCATATTGGTAGTTGTGCTTCTTCCCGAACAAAACCCATGCTGTTGCTCAATAATAATCGAAAATATATCCCTCTTCACCCGCTGGACAATTAGACCCTCGAACAACTTGGGTATTGAATTCAAGATCGAGATAGGTCTATATGTTTCAACATCAGATCTATCACCACTTTTATGAATTGGAGTTATGAAGCTATGCTTCCACCGTTCTGGAAATACTCCCGATCTGAGAGACTCAGCGAAAAGCATATGCATGGGCCTTGCCAGTGAGCACCTACAAACTTTCAAAAGGATGGGCGGTATACCATCAGGTCCCGGCCCCTTGTTAGTATCTAAATTACAAAGCGCAGAATATATAGATTGTAAATCTATGGAGCATGAGCCCACATTGACAGACTTCTGACATGTGAAATTAGTGTTAGTGTAGATGTCTGACTTGTAAACCGCCCGAAAGTGTTTCATGAACAAACCAGAAGCTGTATGATTTGAATTATTGCTTTCCAAGTCACCCAGATACAGATACTCGGGAATACCACCGTTTTTGCGTTTGACATTAACATAGTTCCAGAAAGAAGAATTTTCTGACTGTTGAATAAAATCTAAATGGCATCTCTTAGAAAGAAGTTTTCATTGTTCCCTGAAGTTTGAAAATACCAAATAATCAGACCAGTCTCTAGACCGTTTGTACACCTTATGTGCTTTTTTCTTTTCAATAATAAGCACTTTGAGGTCGTTGCTGTACCATTTGGGAAACTTAGG